GCTAGGACTTTGGGTAGTTTCAAATTTAGGTTGGATAAGTACATGAGTGGGAGGGGTTGGATTTGAGTGGGACTTGCACATCAGAGCTTATTTCTTGGGTAGCATTGAAAATCGGGTTGGGCAAATGTTTTGTTAGTGGGATGAATTGTAAAGGACCTGCCTAGTATGGGCCAACAGGCCTGCTGCAGTGATCCTCCTTTCTTATGTTCTTACGTGTAATACATATTCGGCAGGCCAGCTGGTTGGCTGGCTGGCTGACTTTGGCTCTCTCTCCATCTGTATCTGCCTCTGTCTGTCTCTCTCACAGGTACACATAAGTACATACTACAATTACCATACATAGTGTAAATTGCCTAGAAGTTCCCCAGAAAAATCCAGACAAAGTACTATATTATGCTTGTAGATGATATAAAGCGCAATAAGCATGACTGGCAAGTAATACGCATTTTCACTTGATCAGGAATCAGATGTGACGATTCTGCATCACTGTGTAATACCTGTTGGTTCATGAACCGTTTTCTGAGACAGAGACAAGCAGACAGACAGACACACAAGCAGACATAAAGACAAGAGACACACAGGCAGACAGAAAGACAGATAAGCAGACAAAGCTAGACAGACAGACATGTTTGTAACAGTGAAAACAAATAAACCAAGGGTTCCCTACAGCAGTCCAGGAATGTCAAGTGTCACTCCACTGCTGCACTGTCAGCACTTTAGTGACACTCATCTTAACACCATGCTTCAAGGAGTATATATACTCCAGCATGTCTAAAACATTGCTGTGACCTATAAATAATTTGTGTATATGTAGTAGGTTGGTAGACAGCAACCACCCAGGGGGGTTCTACCATTCTGCCAAGTGAGTGTGAAACGAAAGCCTGTAACTGTTTTACATGATGGTAGGATTGCTGGTGCCTTTTGTCTGTGTCATAAATATGCAAGATTACAGGTATGTCTTGCTACTTCTACTTACACTTAGATCACACTACACATACATGTACATGTTTATTTATACACACTCATCGGAGTTTTCTTTTATTTTATCCTAATAGTTCTTGGTCTTATTACTTTTCCTTTTATATCCATGGGGAAGTGGAATAAGAATCTTTCCTCTGTAAGCCATGCGTGTTGTAAAAGTCAACTAAAATGCCGAGAACAATGGGCTAGTAACCCCTTTTCCTGTAATAATTACTAAAAAGAATAAGAAGAAAATTGTCAAAGTGGGAAGTCTGAATGTGCGTGGAAGTTGTGCGAATGATAAGAAAGAGATGATTGTGGATGTTATGAATGAGAAGAAGCTGGATGTCCTGGCTTTAAGTGAAACAAAGCTGAAGGGGGTGGGAGAGTTTCAGTGGAGAGGAATAAATGGGATTAGGTCAGGGGTTTCAAACAGAGTTAGAGCTAAAGAAGGAGTAGCAATAATGTTGAAGGATAAGTTATGGCAGGAAAAGAGGGACTACAAATGTATTAATTCAAGAATAATGTGGAGTAAAATAAAGGTTGGATGTGACAAGTGGGTTATAGTAAGCGTATATGCACCTGGAGAAGAGAGAAGTGTAGAGGAGAGAGAGAGATTTTGGGAAATGTTGAGTGAATGTGTGGGGAGTTTTGGACCAAGTGTGAGAGTAATGGTGGTAGGGGATTTCAATGCTAAAGTGGACAAAAATGTTGTGGAGGGAGTAGTAGGTAAATTTGGGGTGCCAGGGGTAAATGAAAAAGGGGAGCCTTTAATTGAGCTATGTGTAAAAAGAGGTTTGGTAATAAGTAATACATATTTTATGAAGAAGAGAATAAATAAATATACAAGGTATGATATAGCACATAATAAAAGTAGTTTCTTAGAATATGTATTGGTGGATAAAAGGTTGATGGGTAGGCTCCAGAATGAACACGTTTACAGAGGGGCAACTGATATATCGGATCATTATTTAGTTGTAGCTACAGTTAGAGTAAGAGGTATATGGGAAAAGAGGAAAATGGCAAAAACAAGCAAGAGGGACGTAAAAGTGTATAAACTAAGGGAGGAGGAAGTTCGGGTGAGATATAAGCAACTATTGGCAGAAAGGTGGGATAGTGCAAGTATGAGTAGTGGGGGGGGGGGGGTTGAAGAGGGTTGTAATAGTTATAAAAATGCAGTATTAGAAGTTTGCAGTTATAGGAGGGTGAGTGCAGAAGGAAAGAGGAGTGATTGGTGGAATGATGAAGTAAAGGGTGTGATAAAAGAGAAAAAGGCAGCTAATGAGAATTTTTTACAAAGCAGAAGCGTTATAAGAAGAGTAGAGTATATGGAGAGTAAAAGAAAGGTAAGGAGAGTGGTGACAGTGTGCAAAAGGAGAGCAGATGATAGAGTGGGATAGGCACTGTCAAGAAATTTTAATGAAAATAAGAAAAAATTTTGGAGTTAAACAAGTTAAGAAAGCCTAGAGAACAAATGGATTTATCAGTTAAAAACAGAGTAGGGGAGTTAGTAGATGGGGAGATGGAGGTTTTGGGTAGATGGCGAGAATATTTTGAGGAACTTTTAAATGTCGACGAAGAAAGGGAAGCGGTAATTTCATGTACTGGACAGGGAGGTATACCATCTTTTAGGAGTGAAGAAGAACAGGATGCGAGTGTGGGGGAGGTGCGTGAGGCATTATGTAGAGTGAAAGGGGGTAAAGCAGCTGGTACTGACAGGATCATGACAGAAATATTAAAAGCAGGGGGAAGATATAGTGTTGGAGTGGTTGGTATTTTTGTTTAATGAATGTATGAAAGAGGGGAAGGTACCTAGGGATTGGCAGAGAGCATGTATAGTCCCTTTATATAAAGGGAAGGGGGACAAAAGAGATTGTAAAAATTATAGAGGAATAAGTTTACTGAGTATACCAGGAAATGTGTAAGGTAGGGTTATAACTGAAAGAATTAGAGGTAAGACAGAATGTAGGATTGCAGATGAGCAAGGTGGTTTCAGAGTGACCGGATGTGTAGATCAAGTGTTTACATTGAAGCATATATGTGAACAGTATTTAGATAAAGGTAGGGAAGTTTTTATTGCATTTATGGATTTAGAAAAGGCATATGATAGAGTGGATAGGGGAGCAATGTGGCAGATGTTGCAAGTACATGTACAGTATATGGAATAGGTGGTAAGTTAATAAATGCTGTAAAGAGTTTTTATGAGAATAGTGAGGCTCAGGTTAGGGTGTGTAGAAGAGAGGGAGACTACTTCCCGGTAAAAGTAGGTCTTAGACAGGGATGTGTAATGTCACCATGGTTGTTTAATATATTTATAGATGGGGTTGTAAAAGAAGTAAATGCTAGGGTGTTCGGGAGAGGTGTGGGATTAAATTATGGGGAATCAAATACAAAATGGGAATTGACACAGTTGCTTTTTGCTGATGATACTATGCTTATGAGAGATTCTAAAGAAAAATTGCAAAGGTTAGTAGATGAGTTTGGGAGTGTGTGTAAAGGTAGAAAGTTGAAAGTGAACATAGAAAAGATTAAGGTGATGAGGGTATGAAATGGTTTAGATGAAGAAAAATTGGATATCAAATTGGAGAGGAGGAGTATGGAAGAAGTGAATGTTTTCAGATACTTGGGAGTTGACGTGTCAGCGGATGGATTTATGAAGGATGAGGTTAATCATAGAATTGGTGAGGGAAAAAAGGTGAGTGGTGCGTTGAGGTATATGTGGAGACAAAAAACGTTATCTATGGAGGCAAAGAAGGGAATGTATGAAAGTATAGTAGTACCAACACTCTTATATGGGTGTGAAGCTTGGGTTGTGAATGCAGCAGCGAGGAGGCGGCTGGAGGCAGTGGAGATGTCCTGTCTAAGGGCAACGTGTGGTGTAAATATTATGCAGAAAATTCGGAGTGTGGAAATTAGGAGAAGGTGTGGAGTTAATAAAAGTATTAGTCAGAGGGCTGAAGAGGGGTTGTTGAGGTGGTTTGGTCATTTAGAGAGAATGGATCAAAGTAGAATGACATGAAGAGCATTTAAATCTGTAGGGGAAGGAAGGCGGGGTAGGGGTCGTTGAACTGGTGCTCCCACAAGGTACTAAATGGTCCGATATTTTTTTTAATACTGTGCACACCAAGTGTTAAGACCCATTCTATACTGACCAGGCATCTAAGGCCAATCGTCCCAAATTTGGAGGCAGGAAAAATAGTGTTGATCTACATTTGGAATACCAGCGGTAAGAACGTAGATCTACGTTTGGACAGTTAAGGGGTTAAGGGCTAAGGGGGAAAAAAAAGTTTCTTGATTTCTTTTTATATATTTTGCCTAAATGAATTTGAGACGAAACTTTTCTAGGCGCTTTATGTAACTTTAATACTTAATCTTCCGTAGTTACTACTTTCAAAACTGAGCCTATTTTTCATCAGATTTAAGTACTGTATTACTATTGCAATAGTGTACTACAGTTGTTAATTTCTTACAAGAGCTGTCAATCTGGTAGTGCATATGTGTAATGTACAAACTTAAGGTTCTATTTTGAAAGTTAGCTACTTACCTTGCCTCACCCTACCTTATACCTCTACCTTGAAGTTATGAATGCAAAGAATCTCAGATTACTATCTGACACCTTTGAATTTATTAGTTAAGTTCTCTTCCAAGTTTCACTGGATGCAGTTTACAAGAGAATGGATGAATATTTTATCCATAAAAATATAGTGTATGAAGAGTGATTCACACTTATTTTATCAAATGGCTGAGACACTGCTATCCATGGTTTGTCTTAGTGGTGGTGGTGTTGGCTGGAGATATTATCAGCTATGAATAATCTGAATAGATGAGTGTCCCTTACACTATCTTCAATATCTTTTTTGGCACTGCTCTTATAAATTCTCCGAGAAAATGTCATTCCATCCCACTGCCATGGACATGAAAAGATTATGATGGTGACAGATGAAAACATTTGGATGGTGTCATTTAACTAAAAAATAATGGTTAATGAAAATATTTTACCAATTGCATCCAACTGAAAATGTATAATTTATAAAACTAACCCATCAATGACTAAACAGTCATAAAGAGCAGGTTTGTCACAAACTGGGCAGGTCCAGGTGGGTTTTCGTTCATTCATTTGAAGGTAGAGAGATGCATCAAAACACTGTAGGTGATCACAGGTACTCGCTCGACATGGTAACATCATTCGCATTTTTCCGAGTGGACACATGAGTGAACATCGTAAAGACGTTGTGGCTATTTCACAATCTGCATCTTCTTGTAGTTTTTGTTTTACTGAAAAAAATAGTGTGAATCTGATAAAAGTAACTCCCTACCTACTTGCTATACCCAAATTCATTTTTTTATTACCAGTACTACAGATATTGTAACTATTATAAATCTATTATATTTTCATACAAAATAAAGTGAACAAAAATTATTAAATATTAAATGCACTTTTTTGTTATTAAATGCTATCTTTATAATACAGCAATATATAATGCAATTCTCTTACTTTTTTCATTCTACTCCCCTCTTAAACCCAACAAAAAGTAATTGGGCTATACTGCTAGAACTTTAAAACTAAATTAAAATATATTGTTTTCAGCAAACAGTCTCAACCCTACATGTAGATTCTCACTGCATATTTTTTTTTAACACGTCGGCTGTTTCCCACCAACGAAGGGTGACCCAAAAGAAAGAAAAACCCAAAGGGAAAGAAAAATCTTTCATTATTCAGTCAACACTTTCACCATCACTCATACATAATCATCATCTTTTCAGAGGCACCCAGATACGACAGTTTAGATAGTCACTCCAAACTGCCAATATCCCAAACAAAACACATGGAGTGTTGTGCAGCAGAAAGAGTAAGTGGCAAATTCAAACAATGAAGAACAGCACATTCCCACAAACATGAAAAATACTGATTTGTTCACTAACCTAAATTTTGGCAGTGATGGTGCTTAGTCTTTTCTGCTGCTCAATGATTCAAATACTTAACCTAATTCTTATCTCATGTACTTTTATAAGTAATATACTCCCCACAAAACCATATTTCACCTCCCAAAGCATAGATCAAACTTTATCAGTCCTCAATAAAAACATAAGACAACTAGAGTGGTCTATAGCCAAACCAAATGTTTGGTGGACAGTGAAATTAAATGTCATAAAATAGCAGAATAGATGTAAACACATTACAGTGTTAACCTGCTAACACTACCATTGGATTCCTTAATAAAACAAAGTTGGCCAGGAACTTTTTTAGTGACAATTCTCACAGCATTACTCACAAAGATTTATTCATCATAACTTTCTTGCATGAATAAAATTTGACAATCAACAAAGAAAACTTTAGCAATACTCACTAAGTGATCTAGTAAAATCAGCAATTTTGGCTCCTCTATTTTTAAGTCTCTGAAGTAAGTCATCCGAGGACAACTTCTGTACTAAATAAACAGATATGACGTAGCAACGACCATATTCCGAAGCCCAAGATACCTGCAAATGTTCCACATCACTAATTACACATATTCAAGAATTCCTGATTAAACCAAATTTTTATGTATACACTATTATTAATATTTTGGCTATGTTCATTTGTAAAGAATTAAATGTCTTAGAACTACTGATGTGAACAAGATATTACTAAATGCATTAAAACAGCATATGCAATATTAAAAAAAAAAAAAGTCAACTGGAGATGGGAGCAAAATTGAAAAATACAAGCACTGTGATTAACGTATTTTATTTTTAAATATTTTTAGCTTCACACATTTTCTTTTACATTAAATATCAACAATAACTTTTGAAATCTTTTCTTTCCTTGGGAAATGAGGATATGAATACATGTATATGTTTTTTCCTCTAATTAATATTAGAAATACTGTTAACAGTAGTCCCTATAAATTTGTGGGTTTTGATTATCCAATGTTTTCACTGATGACCTACCCAAAATTTCGTCATCTCAAAAATCTTGGATAATATACTAACACCACAAGACTTTGAAAAGACCATAAATGACATGCCCATGCACTCTGCCCCAGGCCCAGACTCTTGGAACTCTGTGTTCATCAAGAAATGCAAGAAGCCCCTGTCACATGCCTTCAGCATTCTATGGAGAGGGAGCATGGACACAAGGGTCATCCCACACTCACTAAAAATAACAGACATAGCCTCACTCTACAAAGGTGGCAGTAAAGCAATTGCAAAGAACTACAGATTGATAGCACTAACTTCCAAAATCATAAAAATCTCTGAAAGGTTTCTAAGAAGTGCAATTGCCAACCACCTAGATACCCATCAGTTACACAACCCAGGACAACATGGGTTTAGAGCAGGTTGCTCCTGCCTGTCCCAACTAATGGACCACTATGACAAGGTCCTGGAGGCTGCAGAGAATAAACAAAATACAGATATAGTATACACAGACTTTGCAAAAACTTTCAACAAGTGTGACCATGGTGTAATAGCGCACAAAATGTGTGATAGAGGAATAACAGGAAAAGTTGGTAGATGGATCTATAACTTCCTGACAAACAGAACACAAAGAGTCTGAGGCAACTATGGTGAAAAGCTCTGTTCCACAAGGCACAGTACCCGCTCAAATTCTATTCCTCATATCTGACATAGACAGAGATGCAAGCCATAGCTCTGTGTCTTCCTTTGCAGATGACACTTGAATTGCCATGACAATGACATCCATTGAAGACACTGCAAGTGTAGACAGCCTGTACTGTCTGCATAGACAGCCTATGCTGTCTGCCAGCTGAGTTCATATTACGCGCCTTGCTCGTGCTGCCACCTATAAGCCTATGCCACTTCGGTATGCCCAGACCTGCCTGCCTCTCACTCTGTTAGTGGCCTTCACTCAGTCAACAAGGCCTATTCCTCTCTCCCTCGCTGGGCATGGCCCTCCTGGGCCATGGGCACTTAACACACTGCCTGTGTACCCCAGATTTTGCAAATAAAGTAAGAAGCCTTCAAAGCCTTATCACTGAACCCCACTGTGCAGTGGTTGCAGTGGTTGTGTTGCCGGAGGAGGGAAGGAAGAGGAACGAAGTTGTCGTCACTTCATCAACCCACACAAGAAGCATCCGTCTCTCAACGAGTTATCCTGATGTCGTGTTTGCACATTTCAGCATCCAGACACAGATACACGCAGGATCCAGGCTGAAATTTGCCAAATTTCTTTGAGAAATGTAAGTGGCGTCCCTGGAACTCCACGCCACAGCGCCCCATACTGTTTCTTAAGTCACGTGTTCAGCGTCACTTGTATGTTTCTGCTGCTGGTTTTCAGCTCAGCACGGCTATTCCAGCAAGTCAGAGGTGAGTTTGTGGTGATTTCAGTGTCCAGTGTGGATGTTTCTCCAAGTGGGTATGTGGGAGAGGAAGCGGCCAGGTTCCTTGCCTCACTCACACCTCACTCGCCTACCATCACACTACACCACCATGCCATCACTCTCTCTGCTGTGTTTTCTGCTGTTTTCCATGTGAATTCATTGCAAGAGCTGTGTATCCGAGTGCCCAAGGCCACTCAAAGCTATGTGGATCACCAAGCCACGTCGATCACCAAGCCACGTAGATCAAAGGCCACATGTGGATGAAGCCACGTGGATCACAAAGCTACGTGGAGCATGCCACATTGATCTACAAGCCACGTGAGTTACCAAGCCAGACGTCCCAAGCCACATGCTGTGGTCTGCTGCCGCATCACTCCACTGATGTTGCTGCCCGACTTCACAATGTCTGCCTGACATCGTCCCCTCGAGAAGTCTGCAACGTCACCATGTTGATGACGTCACCTCACGATGTCACCCCATGACATCACCTTACGACCTACGCCTGATCGACAGTCTTAGTTTCACAGTGAGCAATATATTGTGTTGTCGAGAAGAGAGAAGATATATGTCATGTGTTAATTAATTCCTCTCAGTCAGTGTTCTCACATGTTCATGTATATAGTGGTGTCGATTTTTGCACAGAAAAAGAGTCATATGCTAGTAAGCCATGTAGAACTGCATGTGCAGTGTGGGTGTGTGCAGTTTTCTTTATGCCCTGTGTGGTCTTGAGCCCAGCTGTGTGGATCACAAGTCTGCGCCCAGACCATTGTGTTGCCTGTCACTCGGTGTGACCCCGCGCATTTGACAGCTGACATTAGTCAGCCCCAAGCGTCTGAACCTCTTGTACAAAAAGCTTTTTATGTTCGCTGCTTGTGATGCCCTGCAAAATCGTACCTGATACGATTCCCATCGAGATTTGTTTCACTTCACCCCCAGACCGTCAGAGTGCAGTTATATGTAGAGAAACAAGTCTGGGGACACTTAGACTAACCTCTGCTATAACTCCAACTGCCGAGAGAATGACACTCGTCAAGACGCAGTTAGCCCATCGGCAGGCGATTGTCTGCCTCCTGTCACAGCTTCAGTGAGCTCCTGCACAAAGATGATGTCACTTTGACTGTTAGCCCGCTCACTGCAGTATGGTATATGATGTTACGACTCCCAGATGCTTCGCCGAGCCATCTCTGCCACAACTCACCGGCAGTGACAGCCCCAGCGACAGTACCAGTCGAAAAATGTCCTCCTGAGTCACTTGCCAGAAGAAGTCCTGCCCAGTTGCCGAGTACTGATGACGCCTCACTCGAGGGCACCAGCAGGTTGTGCCCCAGGTTGAGTGAAACCTACAGCGACTCCTACGATGACTGCTTCATCGTTCCAGAGGAGACTGTACCCTGTTACGTCACATCTCAGCCGCAGCGATGTCTCCTGTGTTGCAGCATCTGTCCAGATGCAGTAAGGCATGCAGTGATGCCCATCGACGATCACTGCCTTAGACCATGATGTTTAGCATACCCCACCTGCTTTTTTCCTCCCTCCCTGTAGAAAGTTTTTTTTTCCATGTTCATGTATATTTTTTATTCAAACAAACTGGCCATATCCCGCCAAGGCAGGGTGGCCCAAAAAGGAAAAACTAAAGTTTCTCTTTTTAAATTTAGTAATTTATACAAGAGAAGGGGTTACTAGCCCCTTGCCCCAGGCATTTTAGTCGCCTCTTACAACATGCATGGCTTACGGAGGAAGAATTCTGTTCCACTTTCCCATGGAGATAAGAGGAAATAAACAAGAGCAAGAACTAGAAAGAAAATAGCAGAAAACCCAGAGGGGTGTGTATATATATACTAGCATATGTATGCGTAGTGTGACCTAAGTGTAAGTAGAAGTATCAAGATGTACCTGAAATCTTGCATGTTTATGAGACAGAAAAAAGGACACCAGCAATCCTACCATCATGTAAAACAATTACAGGCTTTTGTTTTACACTCACCTGGCAGGACAGTAGTACCTCCCTGGGCAGTTGCTGTTTACCAACCTACTATCTATATGTATATATATGTTTTTATTTTGTGTTCTATGCCCTGTTCTCATGAGAGAGACGAGTTTTTTTTTACAGCCAGTCATGGTCAGGGATGACCATATTGGTGCATGGCTGAGCGAATGTAGACAGCTTGTACTGTCTGCATAGACAGCCTATGCTGTCTGCCAGCTGAGTTCATATTACACACCTTGCTCGTGGTTGTCACCTATAGGCCCATGCCACTGCACTATGCCCAGCCCTGCCTCTCTCTCACTGTGTCCTTCACTCAGTCAACAAGGCCTACTCCTCTCTCCCTCGCTGGGCATGGCCCTCCTGGGCCATGGGCACTTAACACACTGCCTGTGTACCCCAGATTTTGCATATAAAGAAGCCTCCGAAGCCTTATCATTGAACCCCGCTCTGCAGGAACACCCAATAAACTTGTAAACACAAGACTCCAAGTGGACATCAACCAAATCTTCAAATGGGCCACTCAAAACAATGCCAAGTTCAATGAAGAGAGATTTCAACTACAGCCTCTCCTCACTTAGCGATGTACTCATTTAACGACGTCTCGGTCTTACGACGGGCTCTCTGACCCGTATTTATACCTAAATAATGTATATTAGAGCTGATTTCCTCTATTCTGTTTATTTCAATATACAGTACTCTACTATATAAACATTTAAAAACATACCAGAAATGTTATAAATGGTGCAAAGTTGACATTAAAACAATATCAAAGGTGGTTAACACAAACCCACTACCATTACAGTATGCTATTCACTTAGCACTGAATTTGTTTAACGACGTGGTCTTAGGAACGGAACTCCGTTGTTAAGTGAGGAGAGGTTGTACGTACTCAGATATGGAAAACTTGAGGAAATTAAAACTATCAGAGTATACAACAGATTCTAACCATACAATAGAGCGAAAAAGTAATGTGAAAGACCTGGGAGTGATAATGTCAGATGATCTCACCTTCAAAGGCCACAACAATAGTGTCTACTGCATCTGATAGGAAAATGATAGGTTGGGCAATGAAAACCTTCAAAACTAGAGATGCCAAGCCCATGATGATTCTCTTCAAAAAGCTAGTTCTCTCTAGGCTGGAATAATGCTGTACACTAACTGCCCCCTTCAAG